CTATACTTATATTGTCACTAGGAGCAGATATTTTGAATCATTGCTATTCATTACAAGGCACAAAAAAAATTTTATGGAGAATCTGTAAGTATTCATAAAAAGCTCTGATAAAAAAATTTGAGTGAATAAATATTTAAATTATATTAAAGTAGCAAAAATTGTGGAATGTGATGGACATCATTATCCAAAGTACATGTATGAAGATAAGAGATATGAAAAAATTGTGGTATATATGTGTAATAAGAATTGTAATACAAAATAAAAGAGTACATTTGTAAAAACATAAACTGGCATAAATATACTTTATACACAAAGATATGAAAAATTGTGCTCTATATGTGAAATAAAAATTGTAATGCATTCTGCTGTCTTGTATTTAAAAAATAAAATCAATAAAGTTATATATATGTATAATAAAGTAACTCTTCTATGATATTGATATATTACAAAGATTTAACCTATAAATATTCAGAAATTTGTGTAGATTTTCTAGGGAGTTCCCCAAGATCAATAAACATCTATCATTATGCAAATCCTCACAGGCATTAGGGAGTACTTTTTTAACTTTAATATAGAGAGATCACTGGAGAACAAGAAGAAGCTTAAAAGATGGGGTCGACACAGAGCAGGGTATGCTCTTTAATAAATACAACAGAAAGAAACCTAGGTTTGGAAAAAATAATTTCTGCTGGATTTTAGCTTCTCAGTTAACATTTTAAAATGTGACTTCCTCTTTGACATTTAGACATCTTATTCTTTGCTTCATTGATTTCTACACACTTGGATATATAGCTACTATCACATTTCTCTTGAAATTACAAGGTTACTCCACTGGGGACAGAAAAATGACCAAGGATTACTTAGGGACAGAAAGACATGTTTGTTAAAAAATAAAATATGACTCATTTTGTTATTTTGGGGTAACTGTGCCTGTTTTGTAATACTATTCTCATTATAAAAAAAAAAAGAAAAACAGGATATCATAGAAGATTCTATACAATTATTTTTCTAATTTTTTTTGACAAAATACTTGTCAAAAAAATATTTTGAAAGACAAAATACTTGGGGCTGGGGATGTGGCTCAAGCGGTAGCGCGCTAGCCTGGCATGCGTGTGGCCCGGGTTCGATCCTCAGCACCACATACCAACAAAGATGTTGTGTCCACCGAGAACTAAAAAATAAATAT